TACTCCATAAAATTTCAAAGGTATGCAAAACGTAGAGACTAATATAATACACCCCTGTCGACCTGGCTTTGACAGCTTTCAGTTTAGGGCCAATCTTATCTTATATCCAAGCTACTACTTCTCCATTGCTAGATTATTTATAAATTAATCTCAGAATCATACAATTAAACCTATGAATATTTTAGCATTATGCTTCTTGTATTTCTTGAGGTCTTCTCATCATTTAATAAAATCCTATTAAAAATAATAACAAAAAGGTAAGTGTATCTGAGTTAGGATATATACTAATGTGGAAAGATCTCATAAATGTATTGTTTAATATGACAAGCTACAGATATCACAATTACGTTTAAAAGACGCAAACAAGAGCTGCCATCTTGCGTCCCCGCGTGTGTGCACCTAATCTCAGCTGGTCCGCCCGAGACCCCCTGAGCGCCAACCCTAGTCCCCCGCGCGGTCCCATTTCCGCTCCAACAAGATGAAAGAAACTATCATGAACCAGGAGAAACTCGCCAAACTGCAAGCACAAGTGCGCATTGGTGGGAAAGGAACTGCTCGCCGAAAGAAGAAGGTGGTTCATAGAACAGCTACAGCAGATGACAAAAAACTTCAGTTCTCCTTAAAGAAGTTAGGGGTAAATAATATCTCTGGTATTGAAGAAGTGAATATGTTCACAAACCAAGGAACAGTGATCCACTTTAACAACCCCAAAGTTCAGGCATCGCTGGCAGCGAACACTTTCACCATTACAGGCCATGCTGAGACAAAGCAGCTGACAGAAATGCTACCCAGTATCTTAAACCAACTTGGTGCAGACAGTCTGACTAGTTTAAGAAGACTGGCTGAAGCTCTGCCCAAACAATCTGTGGATGGAAAAGCACCACTTGCTACCGGAGAGGATGATGATGATGAAGTTCCAGATCTTGTGAAGAATTTTGATGAAGCTTCCAAGAATGAAGCAAACTGAATTGGGTCAACTTCTGGAGAAGATAAAACTTGAAGAAGTTACTGGGAGCTGCCATTTTATATTATGACTGCTTTTTAAAATTTTGCTCATGGATCTGATAAAATCTAGATCTCTAATATTTTTAAGCCCAAGCCCCTTGGACACTGCAGCTCTTTTCAGTTTTTGCTTATACACAATTCATTCTTTGCAGCTAATTAAGCTGAAGAAGCCTGGGAATAAAGTTTGAAACAAGATTAATAAAGTTCTTTGCCTAGGGAAAAAAAAAAAGACGCAAACAAAAAATAAACAGTAAAATAGAGGTGTGTGCTCTTTTTTTAAAGATTTTATTTATTTGACAGAGAGAGATCACAAGTAGGCAAAGAGGCAGGCAGAGAGAGAGGGAAGCAGGATCCCTGCTGAGCAGAGAGCCCGATGTGGGGCTCGATCCCAGGACCCTGAGACCGTGACCGGAGCTGAAGGCAGGGGCTTTAACCCACTGAGCCACCCAGGCGCCCCGAGGTGTGTGCTCTTAAACATATAAGTATATATAGAAAGATCGCTGCAAAAATGTGTGTCAAACTACTAATCCTGATTATCTCAGAGGAGGGAAGTAGTGATTTAAAGGGTGAACTCGGGGCACCTGGGTGGTTCAATTGATTAAGTGTCTGACTCTTGATTTCGGCTCAGGTGATAATTTCAGGGTGATGAGATCGAGCACGGTCTTGGGCTCTATGCATATAGTGCAGAGACTGCTTGAGTTTCTCTCTCTCCCTTTGCCCTTCCCCCACTCACTCTCGCCCTTTCTTTCTAAAATAAATAAATAAATTTTTTTTTTTTTTTTTTTTAAAAGAACAGTGAACTTAAGGGACACCTGGCTGGCTCAGTCAGTGAAGTATATGACTCTTGACTAGGCTCAGGTCATGATCTCAGGGTTGTGAGACTGAGCCCTGGTGGGGGGCAGGGGCTCCACTTTAGAGATGGAACTGGCTTGGGATTCTCTCTCTACCCATCCTCTCTCTTTCTCCCTCCCTCCCTCTCAAAAACAAAACAAAACAAAACAAACGAAAAAAAAAAGAAAAAAGAGTGAACCTAAGAATTTTGTCCTGTAGACATTTACATTGTTTGACACTCAAATGAGAAATAATATATTCATTATTACTTCCATAACTTGGTTTATAAAAAGAAGAGAATCAAAGCACTCATCTGAGAAATACAGAGAAGTCTCAAGTGTGGATTTGAGTTTCTAGCTACGAAGTGACCTTCCAACCTCCTTCCTAATCGAGTTTTTTTTCCCCCCTGCCAACTAAAAATACACTCTCCAGTTCAGGAACCGCGGATGATGGAAGAGCAGCTGCTGCTGAGGACCTACTTTGCATATTGAAACAACCCTGGAGGATAAAGAGCTGCAGCTCACCGGCACCCACACTGGCTCTGAGGCGCTGGGAGCGCATCACACTTCTGTCTTGGCCTCCGCATCATCCTCCGTGTACATGTTCTGGAGGCGGTCTCTGGCCCCTGTTCGCTCTTCCCCCTTCGAGTCAGGAAACTCCTGCAAAGGCTGCAAACTCGTTAGTCAGGAGTTGAAGCTGCTTGGGTGCAGAGTTTACATCCTTCTGATCTTTCTCAGCTGGCTGTTCCAGAAGGCACACCCCCCACTGCTAGTTCCTTTTCCTCTTGTGTTTTTTTGTTGGTTTTGTTTTCTTTTTGAGAGAGAAAGAGATACTATTTCTGTTTGGAGGGAGACAGAGCAAAGAGAGACAGGCAAGGAAATTCTTCCCTCACCCCCGACTTTGCCAGGTTCCTCATTTGTTTATAAGAAGGGGGCGGTAAAAAAACAAACACACACACACACAAAACAAAACAAAAAAGAGATGGTGTTACCAATAAAATGGAAACTAGAAATAGAAAAGTTCTGGAAGATAAGCTGTGCTGTAAATGTAAAATACAAGGCACTCAGAATGGTAGTAATTCTAAATACAATTTATAATGCAAAGCAAAGACAGTTTAAGAGTCTACAATATATTCTGTATCTAATTTTGATACACGATGTCCTAGTCTTCACACACAAACATGATGCTGACTTTTCCCATTCATATGGCATGCAGATGCATTTTGAAGAGGTTTTTTTTTTTTTTTTAAAAATCATGTGATAGGGGCACCTGGGTGCCTCAGTGGGTTAAGCGTCTGTGGCGCAGGTCATGGTCTCAGGGTCCTGGGACAGAGCGCCTGTGTCACGCTCCTTGCTCAGTAGGAAGCCTGTTTCTCTCTCTCCCTCTGCTTCTCTCCTTGCAAGTAAATGAATAAAATCTCTCTCTCAAGTAAATGAATAAAATCTTTCTCTCTCTCTCAGTAAATGAATAAAATCTTTAAAAATAATTTAAAAAATCATGCGATAGCCTGTACAAAGTTTTGCTTACAGCTGCTCCATAAAAATCTCTGTCCTATAAGATATTTGAGCTGAACTAAACTTTTCAGTACTTAGTCCAGCCTTTCTTCTCCAAGTCAGCAGCTTCTTCAGCTCCTGTGTACCTCTCTCCCTCTTCCCAGGACTCACACGAAGGAACCAGAATCAGAGTAATAGCAAACCTGCCCCCTTAACTCCGCCCCAGGCACACCTTAACCTTGGCCTCCATGTTCTTATCCTCTGCCCATCCTGATCCTCCTGCAAATCAATCCTGCCAGGATCCCCATGGATTCATCAGCTGAATAAGACTGAGTCTCAGTTTGATCTGATTTCCCCGCCCCACGGATTAGGATTAGGCGGATAAGCCCTCCTCCAGACAGTTCTTTAATGCTTGGAGACTTCTCTTAGGTAATGACAAAGATTCTTTGCTTGGTTTAACTTTAGTCAGACTCCTGAAAGTTCTTCTAGGATCATCTGCGCACTTCCTCGTAAAATACCATTTTAGCCAGAACCCTCCTACCTCTTAACCAGAATGCCCTGCCCTTAATATCTAATCACTTCAAAATCTGATCGCGTTCCTCAGCCCCCACCGTCCCCCAGGTGATGTCTGGCCACCTGGCCTGTCTTCAGCAAAAATCCTGTTGGGTCAGTTTAACCAGAATCCCTCTTGACCCCTGATGTTCCCGCTCAGTAATTTCCCATCTGCTGAACCCCCTCCCCGATTTTGGCTGTAAATTCCCACTTGCCCAGTCTGGTTGTAAAACGACTACAGCCCACAGGTACCCCCAAGAACTAAGCAACAGTAGCAGCAGCAACAACAGAGTGGTGAGCATAACACACGGTGTTTCTGACTTTTCCTAACTGCTCCCTCCTGTTAAAATACCCAGGCCTAAGGAAAGCAACGACAATTCCAACAGGATGTTCACTCTCTACAAAGCACTTTCTCAGTGAGTATCAGACACGCTAGAAGAGGAGGAGAGGAGTAAATCCCAGCAAGATCTTGAGCAAATTATTTACTCTGAACCCCTTTCTTTATTTGTAAAACGGGAGAGTAATAACCCCCAACTCGATTCTTACCATTTTAATGGAATAATGCCTGGGAAATCGGAAAGCACCGAACACATGTGACTGGTCCCAAGAGACATGTCACTGCAACTGCAGATGCCCACTGGAGAGATGCAGAATCAATGGCTTCTGTTTGGCTATAATTTTTTTAAAAAACTGTGTTTTCTGGAGGTATCATCGTTTCCTGGGAAAAACATGATGACATTGCAAAAAAAAAAAAATTAAGCAGTAAGTTTAATTGCGCACAGTTCCACCACACTGACACAACTCTTAAATTCTTGCCATTTGCCTTCAACATAGTTACTTTTTTTTTAGAGTGTTTTAATCATACTTAGGCAGTTTTTAAAAACCTGTAGGGTCCAAGCAAGCAAAAGAATCTCCAGGCTCCAGGAAAAAAAAAAAAAAAATGCCATCAAGACATGTGTTCTGAGCTGCTGAGAAACGGGGTTGGTGCGAGGCTGGGCTTTACCAAGACTTGACCGGCTGGGGACGTCCGTGCGGCCGGTCCCCTGCGGGAGGGGCTGTGGAGTCCGCCCCGCCCCGACCACCTGCGGAAGGAAGCAGAAAAGGGGAACCGGCCACCGCCACTACTGTTCTTCTCCTTTTGCTCTTGGGACACCACCGCCGCGCAAAAAGCAGCTGCGTGCGAGCGGACTGCCACAGAGGAGGAGCTTTCGGCCGCAGTCTAAGAACACGGAGGTAACTTTACTTTCCCTCTAACCCCGCTGGCCTGAGGAATGAACGGAGCCTGTCCTATATCCCTCCAGAGGCAGCCGAAATATCCCCACTTCCCCCCACCCCGGTCCTACCCGCCGGGGGAGAGATGTCCCTTCCCCAGTCCCAGCCAGGTTTCCCCTAGGTCCGGAAGAGGCCTTGGTTTTAGAAATTGGGCATTTCTAAATAAAAAATGTGAATCGTGCTCTATGGGCAATGTACCTTGATAAGGCAATGGAAGAAACCACCTGGCTGTGACTTGTAAATTTGTCCCCAGGCAACCATACTTGACATAGCCACTGTTTGCAGGACACAGTGCTGGTCCTGAGGGGAGCGCCAACGGCCGCCCAAGTTACCCAAGCGGACTGTCTTCTTCACTTGGTGCATGGAACTGGAGCTAGCTTCCACTTCAGGATTTAGGTTTATAGGAAGAGATCAGAGGTGGGAAGCCACAGACTAGAAGGAACTGAAGACATCTTTCGGTCATTCCTACTGAACTAGGTTATATCTAACTGGAATGAACTTCCTTTTGCCTCTTCGCTTTAACTACCAAGGAATGTGAGCCTTGTTGGCCGTCCTCCAGGGAGCCCTTCCCTCACACAGCCCCCTTCCCCCCTTCCCCCCTTCCTGATATAGATCAGCTCCTGGTGACTCATTTGCCCTTACTTCCTGGCCCTTTCAGAGCCCAGGCCTGTGTTTGAAACCTGACATTGTAAAGACGCTTCCTACTTTTGGAGGAGAGGCTCTTCTTCCAGGTGCCTGCGTGGATTTGTGTTCCTCTTGAAAAGAATGGCTGATGTGTGCACCTGGCCTTTCTCCCCTAGGGCTTAGCAGTGGCCACCATGGGTTCTGTGAATTCCCGAGGTCACAAGGCAGAAGCCCAGGTGGTGATGATAGGCCTCGACTCAGCTGGCAAGACCACGCTCCTGTACAAACTAAAGGGCTACCAGCTGGTGGAGACCCTGCCCACTGTTGGTTTCAACGTGGAGCCGCTCAAAGCCCCGGGGCATGTGTCTCTGACAATCTGGGATGTCGGGGGGCAGACCCAGCTGAGGGCCAACTGGAAGGACTACCTGGAAGGCACGGATGTCCTCGTGTATGTGCTGGATAGCACAGATGAAGCACGCTTGCCTGAGGCCGTGGCTGAGCTCGTGGGAGTCCTGAACGATCCACACATGGCCAGTGTCCCTTTCTTGGTGCTGGCCAACAAGCAGGAGGCGCCCGGTGCTCTGCCGCTGCTTGGGATCAGAGACAGGCTGGGCCTGGAGAGATTCCAGGACCGCAGCTGGGAGCTCCAGGCCTGCAGTGCCCTCACCGGGGCCGGGCTGCCTGAGGCCCTGCAGAGCTTGAGAAGGCTCCTGAAATCCCGCTGCCACTGTGTTCCCACGTGAGTGCAGGTGCGGCAGGGAGTGGGGAGAGCAAGAAGACTGGGTCTGGGCAGAGCAGCGTGTCTGTGCCCATACGAACTGAAAGCAGCTGGTCCTTGAGAATCTGAAACTCAGTTTGTCAAAGAAGTCCTTCTGTGCTTGGACAGGATATTTTCTTCTTGGGGCTTATTGTCACTAGAGTTTATGCTGAAAACTAACTATTCTTTGAATAATAATACTCTAAGGGGGAAAAATGCCTCGACATGCTTCCTTTAATAACTCATTACCAAGGGTGAACTGAGCAATTGTAATAGAACAATGAATGGTCGCATTACAATTAAGACCTAAATTCACAGAGGGAAAGGTTTCAAAATCAGATTAGAATATCATCTGGACATGGTCACGATGTTAGGAGTGATTTTTCCCTGGTGCCCTGGGTTTGTGCCATGATCACTACGCGTACAAGCAGCCAGGGCAAGCAGAGTTGGGTAGGTGACTCTGTCCTCATGGAATATTGGGTTTAGAAGTTCGCTGGGGCAGTTGGCCCTGGGCAAGAGGCTGGGAGTTGGGGGCCTTCCAAAATGTATCCTTTTCTCTGACCCTGATGAACTCTTCTCTACCTTTTATCATCGTGTATTGGTCTTTTTATAAAATGCTTCATTTTTATCTTTTTTTTCTTTCTTTTTTCTCTGTGCAGTACCTATCTTTCCTTAAAGGTCAATCAAGGATTTCATTCATTCATTCATTCAATTAACAAATATGTAGAGCATTGAATTTGGGCAAATGGCACTGAGTTTTTAGTTATGAATCAGGCCCTTGAGATAGGATGTGTGAATTTTGAGGATACATGTAACAGAAATGCTTCTTTCTCATTATTAAATTTTTTAAAAAGTTGAACATAGCATACTACAAGGGTTTTAAGGTGATCTTTACCTAGGAACCATGAAGCTCCTGAAATTATTTACAAAATTATTTGTAAAATGTTATGCTTTGAGCCTTTTTGTTGGGGAGGGGGGAAGATCCACAACTTTTATCAGACTTTCAAAGGCTTTTGTGACTCCCAAAAGTTAAACACTGATCTGGTCTTATCTATCATCCACCAGAGGAATACTTCCTATAATTTGAGTGTTTTAATGGCAAGCAGCTTACATTTGACACCTGCTCTCATGTTAAGCAGCTCTGTATGCTGGCTTTTCCTACCCTGGACTAAAACCATCCTTATAGCTTCTGATGGTGTTCTCCCCTCTCTGGAGTGATACAGTATAAATGGGCCCTCAACACTCTTCCAATATCTGAGATCCACTAGGTCCCTCTACCCAATTATTCCCTTCTAACATCAGGTTAGGCATGCTAAATTCCTTCCACTACTTGTCAGTAGATAGGTTCTCCTTTGTCAGGCACAGGAAAAGTACAGAGATGCAAAGACAGTTTGGACAAGGCCTCAGGCCTCGTGGAGCTCTGGCTGGGGAAGCAGGACAAAACTCCCATAAAAAGACAGAGGCTCAATTCAGCAACTGTTTATTGAGCACTTTCTGGGGCCAAGTTCTGTGCTCAGTGCTTTCCATAGATTCCAATCCTCTCAATACTGCAAAGTGGTATAATTCTCATGTTGCATAATTGGAAACTGAGGCTGGGGGAGGTTGTGACTTGCTTGAGGCATAGAGCTACTAAGTGACATATCTGGAATTTGAAACCAGATAGGTCTAGCCCAAATGATGCCTGTATTCTTCCATGACATCATGTTTCTAGAAGGTTTAAGCCAAGGCTGACCTTCAGTCAACCGATGTGATGAGGGAAGCTGTCGAATCAGAGGGAGGTGACTTCTTGTAAGTAGGAGGGGGAGTGAAGGAAGGACAAGTGGCTGGCGTGGGGTGAGGGGTGGATGAGAGGAATGTATTAAATAGAAAACAAAACTGGAAAGAATTTTAAGTCCAAGCTGGGGAAGGTTTGGACTTTTGTAATCTGGATTTGGCTCAGGGAAGTGAAACCCCTGGACTTGCCATTTGAGAGTGTAATTTAGTGGCAGTGTGGGCTGGAGAAAAAAGAAGGGGGACACTGGAGTCAGGCAGGCAGAGAGACCAGCTAGCTGCCCTTTGCAGTAACAGAGGAGAAGGGAGGAAGAAAGATGAGAAATTGAAAGCCATTTTTGAAGGAAAGAGCTGAGAGAAGTTGAAGATGGCATAAGGTTTTGAGTGTATGTGACCAGAGGGATTGGCATGACCTGAGAAGGTGGGCACAGAAGGAACAAATTGGAATGGGGCCAAAACTGGTGGGTTGTGCTGGGTAGGGACGTGCGGATAGCTTCTTCAGATCATTCTTCAGATCAAGTCTTCAGTCTTCAAGACACCGTACCCTGCCTGATGCACCAGCTGGTTCCCATGCACAGAGGCTCCTTTCCTCACATGATGCGTCAGTTTTTATTGTGAGCTCATCTTTGGTAGGACTTGTTTGTCCTGTGTGACTCCCATGTGCCCTGGGTGTGAAAGTGTTTCTACACAGTGTGGTTGCACACTGGCGTCGACTAGACTCCTAGAGGTTTCAACTGTTTTAGATCAAACATCATGTTAGTTTCTCTGTTTGGGGCTCACGGCCTCACAGGCGGCATCAATCTGGATTCTGTGCCCATTTATGGCAGGGCCCTAGGATTCAATTTCTGACAGGTGACTTCTCTTTCTCCCCACCCATGTCCCAAGAGAGATCATTTGCTTCTTCATACTTTCCTGAGCTGGTGGACCGCGTTTCCAATCCTCTTTAAGGAAGGGGCATCTCTTTGATACTCTTGCTTTTCTACCAAACTCAGATGAAAATTTTCTCTCTTCCAAGCAAGCTTAAGACCATATCTCCTGTTCCCATACAGGTGTTATAACCTTAACCTGGTCCCTAGAGCCTAACCTTGGCTTCTTAATATCTCCATGGACTCCAGGACCCAGCTTACACTTACCTGCTTTGGCTGAGGTTTTGCTCTTCATTTCTGCCACTTGAAGATATCCCTTCTTTGTTCAGGGACAACATGTATGAAAATACAAATTTTTTGGTGATAGCTTACCCAATATTTCTGTACCTCTGTAATGGGCAAGGGTCCATCTGCTATGAGCTGTCTTTCTGAATGTCTTGAACTGTTTTGATATGTGGCAGGGAGATCTGTACTTAGGAAGATGGCTTGGGTAGCTGACTTGGGGTGGACAGAGAATCCTGAAGCAGGGAGGCAGCGTAGAGGGTGACTGGGATGTCTTTTGACTGACAGGAACACTCTTGCCACTGCTGGGGCAAACAGACATCTGCAGAAGCCATCATGCTATGGGCATTTGTTTCCTTTCTCTTGACAATTGTCAGTCTCCTTTCTGACATCAGGATGGACCACACTCTTGTCCAGCTCTGAGAGCATGCTCCTTGGCTGGACCAAACAGAGTGGACGGGGGACCAGCAGGTAGTACGTGACAACAGCCGCAAATCCTTGAAGGCAGACGTGCTCTTAACAAGCCTCAGGAGCTCTCCTCTCATCATCCGCCCTGGATAAGATGTGGGAAGAAGGATAACAAAATATCCTAAGAACCATGCCCATTAGTGCTTCGTTGGTGTTGACCAGAACTTTCTACTGGTCCCTGCTTGGAGGGACTGAATGCCAAATCAGTCACAGAAACTCAGCAGGTGAATTCTGGAACGGGAACTATGGACAGGTGGGGTTGGAGAGCCTCAGAGTCTGAGGGCAGTCTGCCAGCCTTCCATCTCCCCAGCTTCTGAGAAGTTTGCCTTCTGTGGGTTTGGGAATCCCACAGGATATGAGGCCCCATGGCACCTTCCTGGGATTTCCTAGGACCCTCTGTGTCTGTGCTCCGGCTTTTCAAGCTTCCAGGTCAGCGAGCAGGCCTGTAGTTACCTGAGTGATGCTAGCTGTGGCAGCAGGCCTCTGGGGTCACACAACCTTAGGGAAGCCTCCTGAACTCCTACTGTTTTTTAGGCTAAGGATGTTTTCCTGTTTGACTCTTGCCCATAATTTTAGGGAACCTCAGATCCCACCTCTGCAGGAAGCTCTGCTCGTATCCCTCAGCCCATGTTCACCCCCTTCCTGAACTCTCCTGGGGCTGGCCCCCTTGTTAGTGCCTGAACTGGGGCTGTTCTACATGTGGGTACATCATCTCTCCAAGGATGGTCTAAGTTCCTAGTGATCAGGGGATGCCTTACCTCCTGTGATCCTCTTCAATATAATGATATTGAATATATATCCAATATAATAGTATTAGGTACTAAGAGCTGCTCATTAAGTACCTGGGTGAATGATGAATAACTGCTTAAGGCTACTGAACTGAACCTGGCGGGGGAGTCCCCAGGTCCTCTGAACTGTCCAGAGTGAAATCCCCAAATGAGAACTCCAAGAGGCTCATGACCTCGAGAGCCAAAATGGCAGCACGCACCTCTACTTCAGGCATCCTCTGTGGTAAAAACAACAGCAAATAGTCATACGTGCACTTTCTGGACCACGACATGCTCAGAACCACCTGACTTTTAGTCTAAGTAGGAGAGGAACTGCTAAGTGGGGGCCGAGTGAGGAATGGTAGGGGGCATGGAGGAGACCAAGGCCCTGGAGGTAGGTGGCCAGTGAGGGCACAGGCAGGGCCCAGAGCCAGTGCCCCAGAGGAGCACCGCTGAGGCTCCTCTTCTGCCCAGGCAGGGGCCCGGCCTTGCCCACTCCAGGACTCCCATTCTTCCTTCTGCTTCCACCCCAACACTGGTGTTGCTGGAGGGAGGGTGGGACTCCATCCTTTCTCAGAGCCTTCCCTGAAGACCACGGGGAAGCTAGCCTTGCCTGCGTCGAAGCAAAAGTGACAACAGGTCCAGGCTAGCTGGCCCTTGCAAGTGGGAAGTGTGCTTCCTTTGCTGCTGGCAACTGAGGGGTAGGGCATCAGTAGTCAGTATGGCAGCCTCAGCCCTTGCTTCCGCACCTGAGGCAGGCTAGGGCCCTCCAGGGCCATGAAGCCGGAGGTAGTGGGGCAGATGGAAGGGTTTCCCTGCTGCTCGTCTGCTCAGAGACATAGACATATTCACACATATATATACACACACATTTACATTACAGAGCTACAAACAGGGAACCTTAGGAAAAAACAAATCATGTTTTCTGGTTTGTTTTTTAAATAGTGCTCTCCTTACCTGAGGGGTACTTTGCCTGCTCCAATTCTCCCACACCTTTCAGAGCCATCAAGCTCCCATTAATCCCTGAGAGTGAGTGAAGGAGCAGTAATGTGCGTCCATGAATGTGGCTATAAATGCAAGACAGCAGGTATCTGTTTTCTTCTTAAATGAAAATGCCCCTATTCTTTTTTTCTGCGAACACTGTGTACAGTGAGAACTGTTCTAGTTTGGAGAGGTGATTTACCCATCTGAATAGGAGGCTGAGTTTCTCCCTTT